TAGTGCAAATGCCCTAGAGAACTCTGAAGGCGAATAGAAATGAGATATACAGCTCTCTGCTTGCAGCGCGTCAGTCACGCTCGTCAAGAAAGTGAGTGAAACACACACAAACACACATTTTTATCAAATAATACGCCATTAATAGTGGTTTACTTCCGTGATTTGGTACGATTGCGTTCACATCAGCAGCGAACCGTACCGGAGTTCACTTGAACCGTACCCCAGACCACCCTTTTTAAGCGGACTCGGGTACAGTTCGCGGGTGCACACCCGAGTTCGGAAGACAGCGTTCACATCATCCAAACGTACCGAACTCTGATGTCAATCGAACCCGGGTGCGCACCAAAAGTGCTAGTGTGAGAGACCGCCGATCAATCATCCCAACGTGATTATCGGCCGATAGTGATCGGTAGCCGATCAATCGGAGCACCCCTACTTTTTATTCATCTTTGAGTATCTGGACATTCATATCAAATTGTTTTGATGAACATGGCCTGAAGGTCCATGCCATGTTCTGTGAATAATCTATTAGAGTAAGGAATCGTATGTGTGTGTACTGCATGTCAAGAACTGTTTATCTGATCATTCAACTGTTCATTCAGCTACTCAGACTTTATAATAGTTGGAACATATCTTTTGTTTACGGTGACGCATTGCTGCCGCACACATATTATATTTTCCACTCAATTATGTCGTAATAACGAGATGTTATGTCGTTAAAACGATATATTTTCTCGTAATAACGAGATGTTTTCTCGTTAAAACGACATATTTTCTCGTAAAAACAACATCTTTTCTCGTAATAACTCTCCTTAAAACACGGTATTTTGTACGTGACGTAACAACGTCAGCCTATTTCAGCCATTTAGAACTGAGCTGCTTGGGGTTGCCAACACTGCAGCTTATTACGGCAACCTGTTGAAGTCAACAGTTATCAAAGTCAACTGTAATAACGTCAACATGGAATTTTGGAGGTTTCTTCGAAATCGTGGGGTTTCAGAGGAAGATATTCAAAAAATGCAGCTGGACAAGGTAAGTTACTAAATTGTGCTAATGCAAACTATAAAAAGTTTTGGGCCAGGGGTGTAAAACTAAGTTCCTGGGGAGCCACAGCCCTGCAGAGTTTAGATTAAACCCTAATTAAACACGCATGATCCATCTAATCACGTCCTCCAGGCTTATTTGAAAACTACATGGTATGTGTATTGGAGCAGGGTTGGAACAAAACTCTGCAGGCCTGCAGTCCTCCGTGAACATTAACTGAAAATAGGATTTAAAAAAAAAACTACAATATGTTCGTTGCACGCAATGTGTAGGCTACTTTTAATAAATGTGTTTGACTGTCATTCATATCTGGTGTAACTAGTTCTATATGGGATTTACAATACATTTATATAATAAAATAAATGTATATTATAAATAAATAAATAGTGATAAAGATTAAAGGTTTTTAAATGGTATTAATCCGTAAATTCAAATTTGAATTTTTTTTTTTAATGAAAAAAAAAAAGCCTTAATCTGTCTTAATGATTGATTGATTCAGTCATTCATTAAACAGATTTGTTCAAATGGTACTACAGAACAAGCCAAATGACTGTCTTTTATGAATAGATTACGAAATTTAAATACCATGGATTTATTCAGTAACAAGGCACTGTTGTGGGTTGCTCATACACCTTCTGCTGTGGCTTTGATTGGAACTATTTTCCATGTAACTAGTTACTCCCTAACACTGTCCACAAATGCAGGACTTGTTGCAGCTCTTCCTATAACAGTGAAATAAACAAACAC